CCGCCTGCCTCTGCCTCCTGAGTGCTGGGATTAAAGGCTTGCGCCACCACCGCCTGGCTACCATGCTGTTTTTTATTACCATAGCTTTCTAGTTCAACTTGAAATCAGGGATGGTGATAACAGCAGCAGTTTCGTTTTGTTTTGTTGTTTTATTTTAAATTCAGGATTATTTTAGCTATCCTCGGTTTTTTGTTTTTCCATATGAAGTTGAGTATTGTCCTTTCCTGGTCTGTAAAGAATTGTGTTGGAATTTTGATGGGGATTGCACCAAATTTGTATATTGTTTTGGGTAGGATGGGTGTTTTTACTATGTTATTCCTGTGACATGATCATGAGAGATCTTTCCATATTTTGATATCTTCTGCAATTTCTTTCTTCACTGACTTGCAGTTTTCATCATGGAAGTCTTTTGCTTGCTTGGTTAGAGTTTTTGTGTTTCAATAAAATGTTCTGTACACATCTCTTATATCCATTTTATTTATGATGTCAGTTAGTTTCAGCATATCTATGCCTTATGTTTTGTCTAGATGACCTATCTATTGCCATGGGTGGAATATTGACGTCTCCCACTGTCTGTGTGTGAGCATCAATATATGATGTTAGGCGCAGATGTGTTTCTTTTTCAAACTTGGGTGACCTTGTGTTTGGTTTGCATAGTTCTTAAGAATTGCAGTGTCAGCCGGGCGGTGGGGCGGTGGTGGCGCACACCTTTAATCCCAGCACTTGGGAGGCAGAGGCAGGCGGATCTCTGTGAGTTTGAGACCAGCCTGATCTACAAGAGCTAGTTCCAGGACAGGCTCCAAAGCCACAGAGAAACCCTGTCTCGAAAAAACAAACAAACAAAAAAAAAAGAATTGCAGTGTTGCAGTGTCCTATAGGTAGATTTTTTTCCTTTGATTAGTATATACTGTGTTTCCCTATCTCTTTAGATTGATATTGTTTTGAAGTCTCTTTTGTCAGATATTAAAATGCCTACAGCAGCTTGTTTATTAGGTCCATTTGCTTGGAATATATTTTTCCAATCCTTTGCCATGAAGTGATGTCTGTCCTTGATATTAAGATGTGTTTCTTTGATGCAGCCGAAGGATGGACCTATTTTCACATCTATTCTGGCAGTCTGTGTCATTTTACTAGGAAATTGAGATCATTGGTGCTAAGAGATATCATTGACCAATAATTTTTTATTTATTTCTGTTATTTGGGGTGGGGGTGATGGGGGTGGGGGTGCTGGTGGTGTGTGTGTGTTCACATGCTTCCTCTCTTTTGATTTGCTGATCTGGGATTATTTATTACATCTGTCTTCTTGGATGAAGTTACCCTCTTAGGTTGAAGTTTACCTTCGAGCATCTTCTATAGAATTTGTAGATAGATACTGCTTAAATTTTTTTATGAATTTTTTTATTTTCTACATCTATGGTGACTAGAAGTTTTCCTGGGTGTAATAGTCTAGACTCTCATCTGTGGTCTCTTAGAGTCTGCAGAATATCTTTTTAGGCCCTTCTGGCTTTTAAAGTCTACACTGAAATGTCAGGTGTAATTCTAATAGATCTGCTTTTATATGTTACTTGGTCTTTTTCACTTGTAGCTTTTAATATTCTTTCTTTGTTCTGTACATTTAATGTTTTGATTGTTTTGTTCTGAAGGAACTTCCTTTTCTGACCCAATCTATTTGGTGTTCTGCATACTGTATTTACTTTTATAGAAAACTCCATCTGTAGGTTAGGGGAATTTTCTTCCATGATTTTGTTGAAAATATTTTCTGTGCCTTTGACCTGAATCTCTTCTCCTTTCTCTTTTCTGTTATTCTTAGTTGTGTGTGTGTGTGTGTGTGTGTGTGTGTGTGTGTGTGTGTCCCAGATTCTCTGGATGTTTTGTGCTAAGATGGTTTTTATATTTTACTTCTTTGACCGAGGTATCCATTTCTTATATCATGTCTTTAGTGCCCCAGATTCTCTCTTCCATGTCTTCTATTCTGTTGGTGGGTGAAGCTTGCCTTTATGGTTTCTGTTTGAGCACATAAAATTTTCTTTTCCAGATTTCCTCCAGCTTGGGTTTTCTTTATTGATTCTATTTTCCACTTTAAGGTCTTGGACAATTTTATTAATTTTCTTCCACTGCTTGTGTTTTCATTGGTTTCTTTAGGGGATTTACTCCTTCCCTCTTTAAAACCTCTATAATGTGTATAAAGGCTGTTTTAAGGTCTTTTACTTGTGCTCCAACTATGTTGGAATACTCTACTGTGGTAGGATTGCTGGGCTTTAATGGAGAAGACATATTGTTTCGGCTGTTCTTGATTGTATTTTTATGCTGTGTCTAGGCATCTGCGATTAGAAAGATTGTAATTTTGGATGCTGATATCTGTTCTTGTCCTTGTTGATGGGTGTTTTGTTCCTTGTTTTCTGATTCCCTCTCTTGTTCATTGGAGAGTCTGGCAGCTGTGTGGTGCCTGTAGGAAAAATCTTCTGGGGTCCTGATAGGTGTTGGCACTGGGGGTTCCAGGTAAAATGTGTTTCTGTGTATTAGGACCTATGACTTAGGAATGGGCATGGGCTGAGGTGGTGGAGTATCTTCTAAATAGAGAGAAAAGCAGGGTGCTCCACTAAGATCTGTTTAGTAAGTCCCCTGGGAATGAGTGTAGAGAGGCCCCAGTAGAGAGGATCTGCTCTAGAGCTGGGGATGAGACTGGGGGATTGGATTTGGAGGAATGGAGGGAGAGGTGAAGATCTGCTGTCAACCTACCTGCTTCCATGGTCAGAGTGACCTGTGGGTTCCCAAAGGGTACCTGCTGGATTCTTTGTAATTCTTTGGTAGGCTTGAAGCCTTGTAGTCTTTCCTCATTGTGCCTTGGCAGGTTTATTGTTATCATTGTTCAGCTCATATTTATTCAGTCATGCTGGTGAGACTTCATGAGTATACCACCTGAAATTACTAGGAGACACAATCTCACTGCAAACCACAGATTCTCTGGCTGTTATATTCATTCTGCTTGCAATGTTTCTGTTCCTCATTGTTTCCTGAGCCTTGGGTGTAGCAGTATTCATTGGGACTGGGCTCTATAACTCTGCATTTTGATTGGTTGTGGTTTTCAGTAGTGGTGTCAGTATGTTGCAAAGAGAAGTTTCCTTGATGAAGAGAGAGGACTGTACTTATATGTGAGTATAAGGACAAGTGTTTAGATTATTTTTAGAGATTATGCTGGTTTAGTAAATCAGTGGTAGATAGCTATCTCATCATGTGTGATTACAGTTCAAATAAAGCATTTAACACAATAGTCATAGCCGGTTTAAATCCCTAGTCTGAGAATTCCAGCACCCACGTCATAACTAAGTCTGTTTCTGATGCTTTCTCTCTTCAGACTTTTTGCTTGGTCTTGATTCTTCCCCCTTTGTGATGCTCCCAACAGACAGTACATCTCTTGTATCTCATAAAGATACATTTCACTACTATTTCATCTTGGATTTTTTTAGATTTCTTTAAGCATTTTATGTGTATGAGTGCTTTGCTGCATGTGTATGTGCTTGTGGAGGTCAGCAAAGGTGAGCAAAAGATAACAGATTCCCGGGAACTGGAATTACATACAGGTGGTTTTCAGCTGACACATGGTTGCTAGGAACTGAACCTGGGTCTTCTGCAAGAGAAGCAAGTGCTCTTTTTTCCATTTGTTTAATTTTTTTAAAAAGAATACAAACTATCTTTTTCATTTTACATACCAATCCCAGTTCACACTCCCTCCCCTCCTCCAATTTTTTCCATCTTTCTCCCCACCTCACCCCCCACCAATTCCTCAGAGAAGGTAAGGTATATTGCTTTGGAAGAAGGTCCAAGGCCCTCTCTACTACTATATCTAGGCTGAGCAAGGTATCCATCCAAAGAGAATAGGTTCCCAAAAAGTCAGTAAAAGCAGTAGGGATAAATCCTGGTGCTACTGTTAGTGGCCCCGCAGTCTGCCCCAGCCTTATAACTGTCACCCACATTCAGAGAGACTAGTTTGGTCCTATGTCGGTTCCTTCCCTGTCTGGCTGGAATTGGCAGCAAGTGCTCTTCGCTGTTGAACCATCTCTCCAGCCCCCTTCACTATTTTCAACGAAGTTATTTGGTTTGGTAGTGAAGAATGGGGAAGTAAGATTTCTATGTTATTAAGTCTCAGTCCTTGGCAGGTTGACCTTGTGTATTATTGGCAGTGTGACCATCACAATTGTTCTTGTCCTCCAAATGTAATAAGTAGACCTAGCACCATGCTTGGCAGGTACATTTTCTGTATTTCTTCCCACTTCATAGAGTTTGCATCAGTGCCCTTAACTTTTGTCTCCCCTCCTGCAGATTGAAATGTTTTCCCTCCCAGGTGAGAGAAGGTAAATTGCTTTGGCCTGAGTTCCAGGAGAGAAGGGGATAGATTGATCGGGATTGGCTGCCAGGTGCAGTAAGTTACCACCAGTGCTTTCAAGATACAGTTCCTGTTGCCTTTCCCTTGGAATAGTAAGGCTTTTTTCTACAGGAAAATTGAGCAAATTTTCTGGACAGAATTTGAGCAATGGTTATTTTTCTGTTTACCTCCCCAAGCCAAAAATTGCAATACTTTTCCCAGGATTTTTCTCAATCTTCTCTACTAGCAGCTGGCGGAAAATTGAAAAATATGGAAAGCTATCTGTTTGTAGTCCTTATGAACATCACATTGGCCCACAACCAGCTTTAGCAATTCAGTAGTCATTTTTATCTGGACTTTTTTATGAGTTTGTATGTTGTTCAGCAGTGTCTGTATAAACTAAGAAATACCTGAGTTCTACTGCCCTCTGCAGATCCCTGTTCTTACAAGTTTAAATTGGCTATCTGCACTGCAACAATTTTCTGGTGTCTAAGAAAAGATGGGATGCCCATTTAACCTCCTCCCTTTCTCTCATAATGTTGGAAGTAGTGTGGTTTCCAACCCTATATCTCTAAGCTAATGGCAGAAGAGCCTCTAAGTGTAGGGATAAGCTTTTGAAGATCTCTCTGTCTTCCAGCATCCATACCGCAGTTCACCAATTCCCCCACAATGATGATCATGGTGGGTTTACCAGCTCGAGGCAAGACCTACATCTCAACGAAGCTCACACGATATCTCAACTGGATAGGAACACCAACTAAAGGTATGTCTCAAAAATAATTTACTATATATCCCCACCACAGGCCACTAACTGAAAACTGAGGAAAGTAGAAGGCCAAACCTTTCAGTACAGAAAATCCTGCACACCCTTGTTTCTAGGATTAGACCTTCTACTACTGCTGTTACCACTGTCACAATGGTCTTACATATTATATCATTTCATGAGACTATGTTCTGTGCCTAATGCCATGCTGGGTTTTAGGCATAAAACAACTAGTAGTAAGCCTAAATCAGCTCTTAAGAAGGCTCACAAACTCAAACCAGTCCTCTGAGTACTGCAAGGACTTTTCATCACAACTACGTTGTCTCATCAATAACACTATTTTTTATGTTCATTAGTGTTTTGCATGGTTGTTGGGGCCCCTGGAGCTGGAGTTAGAGACAGTTGTGAGCTGCCATGTCAGTGCTAGGAATTAAACCTGGGTCCTCTAGAAGAGCAAGCAGTCAGTACTCTTAACCATTGAGCCATTTCTTCAGGCCCCAATAACACTATTTTATCATTATAATTTTTCACTATTTCATAGTCAGAAAATAAGGCCAAGGAGGTGAAATATCCTCTTTTTTCATACCTCTGGACACAGAAACAGGGTATGATTAATTTCAAATCGACATTCTCTGCTAGGTCTAATGCATGGCTGTATTGAAGGGAAGATAAAGGGACCTGTTTTCTCTCTCTCTCTCTCTCTCTCTCTCTCTCTCATTTTTCTCTAATCCTTTGTCTTGTTCAACCCAACATTGCATCTACTCCATTCCATCCAATCCCCCTTCCCTCATTCCCATCAAATCTTCTAATTCGCCTCTTTTTTGTGTGTAAGGGATTGTAAGTGGAAGTTTCTGTCTCTCCCAGTCCCACAGCCATTCAGTCCCAAAGAAGCACACAGAGGCTTATGTTAATTATAAACTGTTTGGTCTGTTAGCTCAGACTTATTATTAATTAGTTCTTACAACTTAAATTAACCCATAGTTCTTATCTGTGTTTAGCCACATGTCTTGATACCTTTCTCAGTACAGCATTCTCCTCTTGCTTCCTCTGTGTCTGACAGGTGACTTATTCTCTGCTTTTCTCTTCCCATAATTCTCCTTGTTTGGTTGCCTTGCCTATACTTCCTGCCTGGCTACTGGCCTGTCAGCATTTTATTAAACCAATATGAGTAACAAATCTTTACAGTGTACAAGAGCATTGTCCCACAGCAAGGGATTGACCCCAGAGCTTTGTTTATAATAAACAAAGCATATATTCTGCTACCAAGTTACACCTGGTGCCAAATCTTTTCTTCCTCACCAACTCCATTTATCCTTCCTTGCCCTTTATCTACTTTCTCTAATTAATTCACTAAAGTTTCCCAAGTGCCAAAGCCCATGCCAAGCATTAGGAAAGAAATAAAAATGAACGAGACTCGAGGCCTCTCCTGGAAGAATTCTAACTCTAAATGTTGTACATCACAAGTCCTAGGGTGGACTAGGACTCAGACAATATTCTGAGGGTGCTCACTGAAGGAATTGTTGACTGCAAGATGTCAAAACCTTCATGGGTAAGAATATGTCTGAGATGGGTCCTGTGGAAAGAAGGGAGCATTTGTCAAGGCAAAGAAGGCAGGAAAGAGCCCCTCTTTACAGAACTGCAAGCCTGAGGAGCTTCTACCAGATTAAGAAGCACATGGCATAGTAGCAGATGTGTCTCTGTCTTGATCCCACTTTTATTCTGTTTATTCAACTTTATACCTTTAGTCTCTAAGGGTCTCCTTGATCTGAAGTTTTGAACCAAGCCCCTTTATTTCAAGACCCATCCACAGTGGTTTACCCCTTTCTCCAAAACATACTTTGCTTCCTGCAGATGTTATACCTTTGTTCAAGGAGTTCTACGTACTTGTAGTTTACCTACAGTGCCCTTGCTTCCCACCCTCACCCTCATACTCACTAGTAAAAGATACCTATTCTAAAAGGACTTGTTCAAATTTTGCTTTCTCTAAGATACTCCAAGCTAACCCAAAATGTAACTTTTTCCTTCACCCCCCACTCTTCTGCTTAGTTCAATATTGTCTCTGTTGGAGCATTTAAAGGACTCTGTAGGAGCTCCACTGTTACCTGATTTGGTTGCTGTCTGACTTTGTAGTTTATGAACTTCTTGAGAGCCCTATCACAAAAATCTATATGTGTATGTTTATGCATGTGTCCCAGAAGTCATATCTCACTTTATAGAGTAGGTATCTGACTTAGTCACTGTTCTATTGCTGTGAAGAGACACAATGCCCATGACAACTTTTATAAGAGAAATCATTTAATTGGGGACTTGCTTATAGTTTCAGAGGCTTAGTTCATTATCATCATGGCAGGAAGCATGTCAGCATACAGGCAGGCATGGCAATGGAAAAGTAGCTGAGAGTTCTACATTTTGATCCACAGGCACAGAGATAGAGAGAGACACTGGGCCTGGCTTAGGTTTTGAACCCTCAAAGCCCACCTCAGTAACACTTCTTCCAACAAGGCCATACCTACTCCAACAAAACCACAGTTCCTAATCCATCTCAAGTAGTGCCTAATGCCACTCCCTGATGACTAAACATTCAGATATGTGAGCTTATGGGACCTATTCTTATTCATATCACCACATTCCATACACTGGTCCCCATAGCCTTGTAGACATATAATAATACAAAAATGCATTCAATCCAACTTCAAAAGTCCCCATAGTGCATTACAATCTCAACACTGTTTAAAAGTCCAAAATTCAAAGCCTTCTGAGACTCATGGCAATCATGACATTAACTCCATGTCAAATCAAAATTTAAAAAAGCAGATCATATAATTCTAACATACTTTATCAGAATATACTTTACCATTCCAAAAGAGAGAAAAGGGAGCATAGTGAGGAAATACTGGACCAAAGTAAGACTAAAATCCAGCAAAGCAAACTCCAAATTCTGTATCGACATGTCTAATGTCCAAGTGTTCTTCAGATCTCCAGCTCCTGTTGACTATAACACCCTTCTCTCTGTTGGCCTGCTTCCACACCTTGTCTGCAGTTCTCCTTGGCAGGTATCCTACAACGCTGGCATCAACAACATCTTGGGGTCTGCAGTACAACCCAGACTTAATCTTTACAGCTTCTACACAATGGCCTCTCAGGCTTCCATGCAGGGATTCTACTGCCTCACTCCTAGCCTCAGCTACTTTCCTTAGCCACAGAGGGAAATCCCATAACCCCTTTCTTGTATCCTGGACTTCAAAGCCAGAACCACATGGCCAAAGCTGCCAAGTCTTTCTGCTTGCTGGGGCCGGAAGATGACCTCCTCGTTCAAATACATTTTTATTAGCTTTCTTCACTACTTAAGCTTTTCGCTAATTCCTCTTCACAAGTTGGAATCTTATCTTGGTGTGGGGCCTTTTCCTGAAGTCACCAGTCCCTTCATTCCATTTACTTCCAGGCTTTTCTTTGAACTTTTAATCTCCTTGAGCACCACTTAGCTCTTCATTATACTTCCTGGTATCCCTTTTCTCCTCAAACTACATTTTGTGATTTTCCTTGCTCAGCTTGCTCCTTTTCATTATAAATTTAATAACTACATGACACAGTCATTATTAGTCTGCCTTGAAATCTCTGCTGGTGCCATTAATCTAAAATTCTTCAGTTTTGCTTGAGGCAGATTTTTAGTACAAGGCAAAAAGTAGCCACATTTCTTTGCCATAATATGACGAGAATGGTTTCTAGGTCACTTGTTAATTATCTTCCCCTCTGTAACTTGAGCTGGGCCCCCACAGTTTAAATCGCCCTTAGCACTGCCTTCCATGTTCCTACTAAGATGGCCCTAGGTCTTTCTTAAAACATCATACCCACTTTTCTAGTTCAAAGTCCCAAAGTCTTCCATATTCCTCCAACAAATAGCATGGTCAGGTCGGTCACAGCAATGCTACTTGATACCAACTTCTGTCTTTGTCACTGTTCTATTTCCTTATAAAGGAAAACATTTAATTGGGGCTGGCTTATAGTTTCAGAGGCTTAGTCCATTATCATCATGTAAGGGAGCATGGTGGCATGCAGGCAGGCATGACCTGAAAAAGTACCTGAGAGTTCTACATTTGGATCTACAGGCAGGTGGAAGAGAGAGTGACTATAGGCTTAGCATAGGCTTCTGAAACCTCAAAGTCCACCCCTGGTGACATACTTCATCCAGAAAGGCCACACCTCCTCCTATAATACCATACCTCTTTATCTGTCTCAAATAGTGCCACTCCCTGATGACTAAGCAATCAAATATAGCAATCAAATTTATGAGCCTACAGTAGCCACTTTTATTCCATCCACCACTATATCCTAAAGTTATTTCTTAAATGAATTAATGAAATATGGTTTCTTTGACTGTTTGTCTCTTTCTCTTTTTTTCCCTCATTACAAGTAGGAAAGTTCTTTTGAGAGATTTACATTTAGATTTTCCCTTATGACATAAAATGGTAAAATAACCTTGGTAGCTAGAAATCAGGAGACCCAGTCTGTATGTGTTATCAATTCACTCTTGTTTTGACCATTTCTTTATCTTCTCTATTGAATAGGACATTTAAAGGGTTGGAATTTATGATAAAATAAAATAGTTTAGAATCAAACAGACTTGTGTTTGAATTGTAGTTTGCCAGTTATTAACTTGGAAGCTATTTTGTACCCCTGAGCTTTACTTTCCTCATTTGTAAAGGTGAAATAGTTAACCCTACTTTGCAGGACTAATATGAGGGAGTAAATGAGTTGGTACCCATAATTTGAAGCTTTATATGTATACTTTACTTTTATATGTACAATTTCCTATAAATTATGCCTTCTACCTCTGAGGTTCCTTTCAGCAAGAACATCTTTCTGGCCACTACAATCTTCTCACCCTCTTCACTAGGGTTTCATGTTTTCAGTGTTTAATTTAGGCCAGTATCGACGAGAGGCAGTGAGCTACAGGAACTATGAATTCTTTCTCCCAGACAACATGGAGGCTCAACTTATCAGGAAGTAAGTGCCCAACATTTAAGAACCTGTGGTGCCCTTTGACTAAGAGGGACCTTTCTTCATATCCTACTAGGGGAGTAGGATAGGGTAGTCCGCTCTTTTGTGGCTATTCAAACTTTTGACGTTTCAACATAGTGTGGTCATCTACAGTCTTCATGCTTGAGAATTACTCAGTCAAGTTATGAATAGGAAAAATGCAAAAAGTCTCAGTGTTTTAGGTAAGTTTACAATTTGTGTTTGGCCACATTTCATAGTTACCCTAGGCCATGAGTTGAATACCGCCTTGTCCAGCCTTTTTGTCAACCTACTTGAAGTCTGCTCTAATCATAGCCATTCCCTATCAAGAAGCATTTACAGTTTTCCATTTCTGGAATGAGAACATAGAGATGTCTTACTCTAGCATTGAAATTGAGTGTTTCAGGAGCTCAGCTCTCCTCACTCTCTGCAGTGTCATCATTTCAACTCTTAAACTCTTTTACCTATGTGGCTGTAAGTACTTCTAGGTGCAACCTGGCTCTCAGCTTTTTATCCGTGTCTTCTTTATAGAACCCCGTAACCAGTAACTAGTAAAGAGATGGTATTTTGCTGAAAGCCTAAGTACATTATCTCTTTCATACCCATGTTTACAATGTTGCCTAGGCCAGAAAGTCATTTTAACTCAAAGACCATATTCCTAGTCCTTAACTGTGTCTATCAACCAATTCAGCTTGAGCTCCATTAGCACACAGTTAGTCCTAAAATTAGGATGCTTTTATTGCTCAGTTTTTCTTGTACATGTCTTTTATATGCCCTTAAGCTGTACACACAGAGCCAGTTTGAACTATAACCTCTCTATACTTAACATGATGGCTAGAACAAAGGATGCTGTGTATATGTTCAACAGATGAATAATTTACTATAAAGCATATGAGAGCTGGTTCATAAGAGAACAGTGGTAAGAGGAACTCATCCTGGGAATAGGGATTGTCTGCTTCTTTCTGTTTTTCAGGCAGTGTGCTCTGGCAGCCCTAAAGGACGTCCATAAATATCTTAGCTGTGAGGAAGGTCACGTTGCGGTAAATAATCTTCCATTTCCCCCCTCAGGCTATCTGTCATTATGGAAAATAGATAATATGTACTAAGCATTATATATGCCATACATTATTCTAAGTACTTTGTTTATATTAATAATTTAATTCACATTGTCCCATGAGATAATCATCATTATTATGCTCTATTTTAGATCCCAAAAGATTAACTTATTTTCCAGGATGGTGCAATATTTGCAGAATCCATACTCTTAAGCCCCATGCTTCATTGATTTGTCCTCAAGATTTAGCAGTATAAATATTTAAGACTGAAGTACAAACATTTTCTTTTCTTTTTTCAAAATGTTATAAACTTTCTTATTAAAATCCTTGCAAACAATTACAAACATACCATACAAAAATAAGACCCAAAGTCTATACAACTTCATGAACTTCATACACTGTGGAACATAAGCTGTAAAGCATGTCTTTTGTTGTATTATCTTTTTTTAGAGAATGATTTACAATTTTATGTCTTAATTCCTTGGGTTAGAGATTCTCAAATATGTGAATGCTAAGGATAGAGAATTTTTTCTGTTTCTGAACTTTTCTAAGGCTTTAGGAAGGGCAGGCCTCATCTAGAGTAGCAGCTCTATTATTGTTCTATCAGCAATTCATGGTTGTTATCAGAGCAGTCTTTCTTCCAGGCCTGTTACTTGACCTGTAACATGATCCTAAGAAAAATTTCCAAGCTTTCTCATGCTTTATTACATTCATAGGGTGGAGGATATTTCTGAGCAGACAGTAAGGGCTCAGTGAATGCTTTTGAAAAGAATACAGGCCAATTCCAAACCCTTCTTTATCTTGAAAACTTTAAGTTCTGTCCCCTTCTGGACGCCCTCCACTTGGAACAACGGTGAATGAAGAATGGTATTATATCAACACTAGATTAAGATTAAGACAATCTTATTAAATGTCTCTAGGTTTTTGATGCCACCAACACTACCAGAGAACGACGATCATTGATTCTGCAGTTTGCTAAAGAACATGGTTACAAGGTAGAGTAACACAGCCATGCTTACTTAGAGCAAATTACAAAGAAGTACAAAGTAGGGCACTTAGAGCAGCCAGTTTGAACACTGTAGGCTCAACATCTAGCTTTCCAGGGTAAATTGAAAAACAGCAGAGAAGAACAAAACAGACATGCCTGGTCAGGCAATGGAAGCTGGTTACCAACAGGCTGATACTGGGGATGCCTAATGGAGCTCAAGCTGAATTGGTTGAAGGAGTCTTGAGAAACATGTAAGATCCAAAACCCAGCCGAAATCTGGGGCAGTTCAATTAGAGCCAGGCTGCCTCATAGGAGTCAGAATCCTGAAAGCACCATTGTAAAAAACATTGTTTTTAGAAATGTCGCTAAGGATGACTCAGGGATATCAAGAATGGTTGTGCTTGTGTGGCTCCCCAAAAACATAATCCTCTGCTAGAAAGCTCTTTTTTTCTTCTAGGTCTTTTTTATTGAGTCTATTTGTAATGACCCTGACGTCATTGCAGAAAACATCAAGGTAAGGAACACCGCTCTTCCTTATTCTTTTAAAAGTAAGTCTTAATTTAATTTACATCTTAAATCTACATGTATGTATATGCATATATGCACACATATATTGTGTGTGTGTTTGTGTATGAAATGTGTAAAATGTGAAATGCACGTGCCATGGTATGTATATGGAGATTAGAAGATAATTTCACGTGTTAGTCCTCACCTTCCACCTTGTTTGAGATAGGGTCTCTTCTTGTTCTCTGTTGCATTTTCCAAGCTAGCCTGTCGGCAAGCTATTAAAGCATCCCCGTCTCCACTTCTCATTTCACAATACGAACACTGTGATTACAAATGCACACCACCACATCCAGCTTTATGTGGGTTTGGGGGATCCAGACTTAGGTTCTTATACTTGTGTGGCAAGCTCATTACCACCAAGTCATCTCCCCATCCCTCAATCTTCCTTATTCTGTCTTAGGCTTGGATCATTCCTAAAAGACAACTATAAACTTAAAGCCTTCCTCTCTGAGATGCTCCTCCTACTTTGACTAAGAAGCACTCCCTTGCTTGCCACAGTGTTCCCATAAAGTTAGATGAAAACAGCATATATAGAGCTCTTAGAATGCATTGAACACTAAGCTTGACTTCTTTTTTTTCACCACAAACCTGCATGTTTGTTTAGAAGAGAAACTGAGGCTCAAAGAGTTAAATTGGCAAAGACTGGTACAGATCTGGTACAGATGGAAGTAGGAATGCGACCTGGCGTGGCTGTCTTTCTCAAAAGTCAGTATTCTGTATTGTGCCCACATTTCACATCATAATCATTGCTTTTAGCCTATTAACTAGAATTAGACTCATAAACCTTTGTTGTTCTCTGTCCCTTAAATTACTGGTGCTTAGGAGCATAAGAGACCTTAAAGACCATCTCTTTCAACCTTTCACCAACCATTTAAAATCTCAGCTAAGTATTTGTCTATATTTCTGTCCATACCTATAGTAACAAATAGTCATTGTCTTTTTAAAAAGTGTAGCCTAATCAAAGTGAAATTTGTCTCCCTGTAACTTCTACCCATTGCTCTTATTTTTATCTCTTGGGATATTTAGCATGTTCAAATCTTTTTCCTCTTCATCCACCCAATTATCCATCCATTTATTGATTCAGGAGAAATTGTATACCTGAATAGCTAATGTAGACATTAAAGATATAGAAACAATGAAATCCCTTTTCTTGAACTCACAGTCTAGTTAGGGACAGTGACAGTTAAAAATGGAACATGTACTAGTGTCTGTCCAGGTGTCATCCACTCAGAGAACACTAGACCTGTCCGGTGCCTTTTTACAGAGGTGAGAGTTAGACACCAACCCACATGCAATCAGACTTGCTCTTCTTGAGGTCGACTTCTCTGACCTCAAGTGCAGTGCTCAAGCCTCGCATCCTGTGCTCAAATATAGATAACCAAGCTTGAGGGGACTGTCCTGCTTCAATGACCGTGAAGGCCTGAATGATCATAACTGCATTGCGATGCTGTGAGACCCTTATGTGACAAATGCACCACAGGCACACCAGGGAGGCAAGCACCATTAAGCCTGTTAGGGCTCCTACTCCCACCCACTCCTTCAGATGATCCATGGAGTGATCCAGGAAGATAGTTCTGCCAGGCTGGTATCCATGTGTATGGAATCTGCAGTCACAATCGCCACTCGCAGCTTTTCCAGTTGTTGTTCGAATTCACCAGACCAATTACCTAAAAGATAGCTAGACAATTCTTTAGACAGATTATCTGCATGAGTCATATTGAATGCTGGTCACACACAGCCCCGGATGAATAGAAATGTCTGACAGACTAGGGTATAGACTTGCCTCTCTTTTACCTGGGTCCTTTTTTTTTTTTTTCCGTATCCTACTATTTCCCACACACCCTCTTCCCCTCAAGTGAACAGAGGTGTGTGACTGTATCAGACTCGGGACTTTTAGAAGTGGCTTTGCCATGACCCCAGGCCCCAGGAGCAGTCAGAAACCACTGCTCCTTCAGCAGTCCCCTAAATAACACACCCCAGCTGCCATACCCCCGTGGCTCATTTATTCCTGTCAGCTGAGTGCATGGAAGACACCTTCTCCCTCGTGCACCTCTTTGGCTTCCCTAGCAGCCCAGCTGATCCTGCTTCTGCTCTGAAGGGGCCCCGCTTAAATTATCTTATAGGGAATTTGGGCGTTGTCAATCTGTCTGGCTACTTGCTGCTGAGCGGGGACTCTGCATTCTTACTGCCATTTTCCAGTCACACTAGGACTCAGGGAGAGGCGGAGACTCCACCTCCCTACCGTGCTGGAAGGTGGAGGTGTGGCAGCGTGGAGCAGCGGGCCCCTACCCCTTTGGGGTGGGGCGGATCCCATCCTGGCCTGTTGCCCGGGCTAGAGAGGTCCAGGCCAACGAATCTTATCGCAATTGTGCTGCGCTTCTACACAGGTCCCAGGTGTTTGCACACTTTGCAGCTCCTCAGGGCACTTGCCGCCTGGAGCTCCTTGGCCTTGGAGCCGCAGCTGCTCACACTCCACTGCAAACTCAGGAGGTCTCCGTAATTCAAATCACATGAATATAACTCCCTTCCTTAGCGTACCTTGTTCAGTGGCAAAATCTAGCTCTCTACCAAGCTTATCCCAGGATGACACATTAAGATTGCCAGAGATGGCAAACCAGGGAGGAATTGTGTCACATTCAGTCAAAAACCTCTCCAATGTGCTCTGTAACAGCTCGTTAAGAGCCAGAAAAATCAGGTGTGATGTTGAAGTGCCCATTCTAAAATCCTATTCTTTTAGTTTTATTTTGATCCATCCACTCTTGTCGTGGTTCTACTATCTTGCTCTCCCTTTTTCTATTGGTGAGAACAAAAAACCCGCTTTTCTTCACGGATCCCCAATCTTTACCTGAGGATTTACCGGTGCACCCCCTGACTGCAGCAAGTTCTGGGCTCCATGGAGAGAGGTTTGGAGGTTCCCTGTAGGGGCCACCACTTGTCCCCATACGGGCCACCAACTGTCTCGGCTCTACCTCGACCAGCAAGGATGACACCGGAGCTCTTCCTGCTAGCAGTTTATTCAGGACCGTTTTTACAATTGTATCTCTCTCTCTCTCTCCCCGGGCAAAACCTCTCCCAGCCCTTAAAAAGGCACAGGCCGCCAACCCCGGATTGCCAGGTGGGCACTGCCCATAGGTTCTCGCATATGCAAGCAGCTGACAATCATTGTGTGATCAGGCCTTAGCCAATATTAGGAGCTGATTATCAGGTGTGGCTCCACGCAACTCTCTACAGTAAAGAATTTAAATGGGGAATAAAATACACTAAATATAATATATCCAGGGAACTATCAGTATTTTGGATCTGAAAAGGCAAAATGAGTGTCCAAATATGAGAGCAATAAGGGATGGTAGTGAAAAGGCAATTGGACTTGTCATGATCTAACTTGCTAAAATAGCTCATACTTTGTCCTAAAAGACACTTGGAAATGGTGAAGGAGTTTAAAGAGGAGAGTCCCATTGTCAAATGTGTGTTATAAATATCCTTGTTGGAGAAATAATAAATAAATGAATGAAATATTCTTCTGGGACTAGTGAGATGATTCAGTCACAAGTTTGATGACCTGAGTTCAATCCTCAGAATTCATATAAATGTGGAAGGAGAGAACTGACTCCACAAAGTTGTCCTCATACTCACTGTGACCTGCATATGTCTCCCAACACAATATCATACACATGTACATGCACATAATAATAAAAAATAATAATGAACTGAAATTTAAGAAGATATCTTTCTGGCTACCAGCAATCAGTCACAAAGCTGTAGTGAACATAGGCAAAAGAGATTGTCTATTTAGAAAAAAGATTAGAGAAGCTTAGTTTCTGCTAGCAAGTGAGATTCCATGTAGGCTCAAGTGATTAAGTGGAGGAATGGGGAAAATAAGAAGAAAAGGTGGATATTGGAGGATTAAGAGATGCCAGTCTTATAAAAGCCAATGACAACATGCCTGTTTTCTCAGCAGTGAGTAAATACATGAAAGTCTATGATATAAAGTCAAAATATCTCATTCTTCTTCCTCATCACAGTTTTCCTGGTCTCTTATAGATGGTGTTAAGCAATATGTGCACTGGGAGTAAACACATTGTAAAATATAGCCCAGCTCCTCTTTGGTTGCCTAATTTTGACTTGGGCAAAACCCTTGTTCAAACTCTTAAGTTCCCTGCCTTTGTAATGTAGTGTATGGTAGTCAGTTGTCTATAGGGCCCTTTCCAAATACAATGTCAGAGTCTATTTCCCCACATTTATCTTCTTCCCACCTTCTCACAGCAAGTGAAACTTGGCAGCCCTGATTACATAGACTGTGACAAAGAAAAGGTTTTGGAAGACTTTCTTAAGAGAATTGAGTGCTATGAGATTAACTACCAACCTTTGGATGAAGAATTGGACAGGTAAGAGCCTAACAACAACCCAAAGTCAAGTTTTGATGTCTTATGGGACCTAAGAAAATGTCCACCTTTGGGAGGCCTTAACTTTTCTATCCATAATATCAGAAGATATTGATATATCTTCGTTACCCCCTCCAGTCCAGTTTTCCATGAGACAGTGATTCTTTGCTATGGAAAGTATTCATAAGTTGACTAAAGTAGTGCCTTCTTATGCAGTAGACACAGATTTGGACTTTGCTCCCTGAGAACAAATGCCTCCATTCTGTGGCTATTGTGTTGCTGTTGCAGAAATACTATTCACATGAATGTCACCATAGTATCTAAACAGATTCACCTTCTTTCTTCTGTCACATCCTTATAGTACTTCCATAAAGGAGGCTGTGGTAGAGCTGATATCCTAAATTTCCAAAAAGAGGAAACCGAATCTTAGGAAGCTGAAGCTACTACCCAAGCTTCCACCATAAGTCATATGTGGCATTAGAAGTCTAACCATGTATTGTCTCCTATTGTTTCTCCTCTCATACCCCTCATGGATCTCTTCAATCAGCAAGTCTTTGGAAACTTTACATGCAGAAGGTGTAAATAGAGTCAAATGAGATGGATTCTGTCCTTCGGTGACTTTTACAGAGACTCAACATATGAAAAGACCTATAAAGCTATAAAATAAGATTTTCTTGCATAATACTAGCTACAGATAGAGAAGTATTGGCTGGCAGTGTGAAGCAGATGTAAGTTTAGTTGTAAAATGTTCAAAGAAACTTGCTCTCTTTCAAAATGGGTTCTAATGAAAACAGACTTCAGCTTCCCATACTCTTTGAGACCCAAGTTTGAAGAGTAAAAGGGCTGTAACTGGTCATTATTACCCTAAGAAGTTTAAATGCATCCTTTCAGTCTTCTCCACTAGAAATGCAAGAAAATGGGTATTGTTACTTCACAGTTCGGGAAACTAACAAGCACGGATTGATCAGGTCAAAGGCTTGTCAGAGTCAGCAACACAGTCTATACTGAATGAAGCCTGTATTTACCAAATTGTAGCCTGATTTAACCCTCCACATCCTTGAATCACAAGAAATATCAATCGGGACTTAAAAATTCAGTGCAAAAGGCACATAGTCTTTGTATATAATTTTGCAGATTGCCCACTGTGCATGCTCCCTGACCAAACATACATGTTTCTTTCAGGAAGACAAGCAATGGAACTAGGTTGTTTCTGCTTGAGAAAAGTGACTTTTTCAGATTCCACAGTGACATTATGTGGGATAATGGCATATGATGGAAGATATGATGAAAGGATCTTGCAGGAAGGGGGCTGAAGGGAAAGAATGACATTAAGAAAACCAATAGACCTGAGTTTAGACACCTAGAGGGGCACTGTTAAGTTTTGTTTGTTTCTGTTATTCTTTTGATGAGCTCATTGAGCCTGAAGAAGATAGATATAGAAGGCCAGTTTTAATTATTTTAATAAATATATTTTTCTTTATTTTTTAAAAAGAAAACAGACTATCTGTTTTTCATTATACATATCAATCCAAGTTCCCACTCCCTCCCCTCCTCCCAGTCCCTCCACACACCTTCCGACCCCACCTTCATCCAATCCTCAGAGAGGGTAAGGCACATTGCTTTGGGAAAGGTTCGAGGCCCTCCCTACTATATCTAGGCTGAGTAAGGTATCCATCCAAAGAGAATAGGTTCCCCAAAAGCCAGTACATGCAGTAGGAATAAATCCTGGTGCCACTGCCAGTGGCCCCCAGTCTTCCCCAGCAATGCAAATATCAACCATATTCAGAGGATCTAGTTTGGTCCTCCTGTGCTTGTTTCTTCCCAGTCTGGCTGGAGTTGGTGAGCTCCCATCAGCTCAGATAGACTGTTTCAGTGGGTGAACCCATCATTGTCTTGATCTCTTTGCTCATTTTCTCATTCCTCCCACTCTTCAACTGGACTTTGGGAGCTCAGTCCAGTGCTCTGATGTAGGTCTCTGCCTCTGTTTTCATCAGTTGCTGGATGAAGGTTCTATGGTGACATTTAAGATATTCATCAGTCTGACTACATGGCAAGTCAAGATCAGGCCCCCTCTCCTCAATAGCTTAGGGTTTTATCTGGGGTCATCCTTGTGGATTCTCTAGAGCCGTGTTTCTTGCTAGCCCTATAATGGCTCCCTCAATCAAGATATCTCTTTCCTTGCTCTCATCTCTCTTCTTCCTCCTTCTCAACTATCGCATTCCCTCAAGTTCTCCTCACCCTCCCCTTCTCCCTCCTCACCCCTCCCCTTCTTCCCTCTTTTTCCCCTTCCACCCTCCCTTCTCTCCCACCTCCATGCTCCCAATTTTGTCAGGGAATCTTGCCTGTTTTGACTTTCTGGGTACATCAATGTATGCTTTTCTTTGGGTTCACCTCATTATTTAGCTTCTCTAGGATCATGAACTATAGGCTCAATGTCCTTTGTTTATGGCTAGTATCCACTTATAAGTGAGTACATATCATATTCATCTTTTTGGTTCTGGGTTACCTCACTCAGGATAATGTTTTCTAATTCCAGCCATCTGCACGCAAAATTCAAGATGTCAATATTTTTTTACTGCTGAGTAGTACTCTAATGTGTAGATGTGTCACATTTTCTTTATCCATTCTTTAGTCGAGGAACATCTAGGTTGTTTCCAGGTTCTGGCTATTACAAATAATGTTGCAATGAACATAGTTGAACAAATGCCTTTGTAGTATGATTGAACATCTTTTGGGTATATGCCCAAGAGTGGTATTGCTGTCTCCTGAGATAGGTTGATTTCCAATTTTCTGAGAAACCGCCATACTGATTTCCAAAGTGGTTGTACAAGTTTGCATTCCCACCAGCAATGGATGAGTGCTCCCTTTACCCCACATCCTCTCCAGCATAGGCTATCATTGGTGTTTTTGATCTTAGACACGTGTAAGATGGTATCTCAGAGTTGTTTTGACTTACATTTCCCTGATGGCTAAGGATGTTGAATATTTCCATAAGTATCTTTTGGCCGTTGGTCTTGGAGAGAACAGGGATACAAGGAACATATCTAAATATAATAAAAACAATATACAGGAAGCCGACAGCCAATGTCAAATTAAATAGAGAGAAATGATAAAGGATTCCACTAAAATCAGGAACAATACAAGGCTATCCACTCTCTCCATATCGCTTCAACATAGTTCTTGAAGTTCTGGCAATAAGACAACAAAAGGAGATCAAGGAGATTCTATTGGACGGGAAGAAATCAAACTTTTGTTATTTGCAGATGATATGATAGTATACATAAGTGACCCCAAAAACACTACCAGAGAACTCCTGCAGCTGATAGATACCTTCAGTGATGTAGCAGGATACAAGATCAACTCAAAAAAAAAAAATCAGTAGCCCTCCTATATACAAATGATAAAGAAGCTACGAGGGAAATTAGAGAAACATCACCTTTTTTCTGTTCAAAATAAATAAATCTTTTTCATTTTATATGCCAACCACAGTTCTTCTTCTGTCCCTCCTCCTGCTTCCCCACACCATCCCACCTCTAATCCACTCCACAGAGTGGTTGAGGCATTCCTTTGGTAGTCAAGAAAGTCTATCACATCACATTGAAGCAGGACCAAGGCCCTCCCCCTGTATCCAGGCTGAGCAAGGTATCCCTTTATAGGGAATAGGCTCTAAAGAGCCAATTCATGCACTAGGGATAAATACTGCTTCCACTGCTAGTGGACCCACAAACTGCCCAAGCCATACAACTGTCACCCACATTCAGAGGGCCCAGTTCAGTCCTATGCAGGCTCTCCAGCTGTCAGTCCATGGTCAATGACTTCCCACTAGCTCGGGTCAGCTCTTTCTGTGGGTTTCCCTATCATGATCTTGACCCCTTTGCTCATATTATCACCCTTCTCTCTCTTTGCCTGGACTCCGGGAGTTCAGCCCAGTGCTTAGCTGTGAATCTCTACATCTTCTTCCATCTAATTATTTTATAAATTTATATATTTAATAGAAATTTATAGCTTATGTATCATGGCCAGCCTTAGCACTGCCTAAGGAGGCCAAAGAGGCAAGGCTATTCATGTTTTGCTAGAATGCCCAGTAATTTGGAGAAGGTGATGTGTACACAGTTGACTCCAGTTCTGGGATCAGTAAACCAGATGGCTGAAGGAACTCAGAGCATGGAACTTGGCCCACCTTTAAGCAAGAATGCTTATAAGAACTGAATTATTCAGTAGGCAAGCAATGTTGGATCTTTCAAAAATAAGAAGAAAACTTTCCTACAACCTTTTGTCAATTAGTATTTAAAAGCAGCAACATGAAAAAGTAGAAAAATAAAACCAGGACCTTCTCATTAGTATAGTTTATATATTTTATTTTAAATTACATAATTTGGGAGATGAACATGAAACTTTTATAATAATTTGTTATTGAGCAATTATAAATGAACTTATATAGCTCTAAATCTAAGATTTCTTGGAGAGAGTAAATGTCCTAGCTTTTGAAAGATAGGAAAGATTTGGAAATCAGCAAGGTATATCATTTCAAGCAAAACGAAAAGTACTTTGAGACAGCTGGCCTAATTAGTTCTTAGTATGAAAAGAGAAGAGGACTACAGAGAATATTCCAAGTATACCAGCAATACAGGAATTAAAATACCATGGGTTAGGTATGGTGCTGTGTGATGAGGTCAACTCCAGACAGCCTGTAAAATCATTTAGGATAACAGACAAAGCTATGGAATTTGAAAGTTCCCTTCGAATTACAGAGAGTCTAGTATTTGGTACAGGCAATACCCAGGCAACAAAATCACATCAGAGCTCAATGGAGTGAGACACATTCTGTGGAAAATTGCTTCTCTGTGTGCTTCAATTTTCTACATGATGACCTCTACTCTGAATAATGGCTGGGAAGATTTGTGCATCTTAAAATCTCCCAGTCTCTGCATGATAGACAGAAAATATTCAATATTCAACAAATTCAAGTGTCCTTTGGGATCCACTGTACATGGATCCCAGAGTTGTGAAGGATGAGGCTGTAAATGTAAAGGTCTTTTCTAGGAAGATCAAGGAAGAGACTCTCTGAAACCAAAACCATCAACAGCTTAAGGGTCCTGGGTTGCTTATGTCACCCTATGACTCTAGTTCCCACACCTCTTCCCATGGAGCTCTCTTAGCTCCTTACAGTCAACTAGAGGATTTAGGGCTGTTCCAGGAGCTGTAGAAATCTTACTTCATGGTTCTAATCTTCCAAGCTGTTGGTATCCTGCCCCTGCCTCCCAGCTCCTTCAGAGACAGGTTGATGTATTTGATTAGTACTCAGTCTATTGTTACTAGAGCTGAGCACATAACTAAGGGAACTACCAGAAACTTGGGACCAGGACCACAAGTTTGCTAATGATGTTCTGCACTATTTCTGTATCCCTTCACACCAATACTTGACATACTGTGCTGTTGTGACAGGAATGCTGAATATTATTCATGTATACAAGTGTATGTTTCTGACTGTTTTAAGAGTTCCTAAAGGGCAGATATCCTCTACCCAAAGCACAGTGCCTTAATTCAGATAAAAGTACTTGTGAATTGCAGGTGTAGACTATAGAGAAGAATCTTAGCCAATTGCATTGTGATTGGGAAAGGGAAAAAGTTGATTCAAGCTGAAGAAAGGAGATGGTAGCCTACAGTGATTAGGTTCCTGGGGCTGTCAGGAACAAAATCTCTAGAATATATACCAAGAGCAAGACTAGGTATAACATCTTGTTAGGTAGGAGGCAAACTCCAGAGGAGGATTGGGAGCAGGATGTGTGGTTAGGAATTTCTCTTGGGATCAACCCTCCCTCCCATCAGCACCTAAGATGTTTGCTTCTCCTTGTGTCTGGCCCAGCCACCTGTCCTACATCAAGATCTTCGACGTGGGCACACGCTACATGGTAAATCGAGTGCAGGACCATGTTCAGAGCCGCACAGCCTACTACCTCATGAACATCCATGTCACTCCCCGATCCATCTACCTATGCCGGCATGGTGAGAGTGAGCTGAACCTCAGAGGCCGCATTGGAGGTGACTCTGGCCTCTCAGCTCGAGGCAAGCAGGTAAGTTAGCTCCAAAGACTCAGGTGAGTAGACTAGGCTAACCCAGGTGGGATGGCCAGTGACTGGATTTTAAGAAGTATCCCTAAGTGGAAAAGGATCAAATTATGATCAATCAGTCTCTTCCAATATTAGTCACTGAGTCCTGTCACAGATATTGAATGGTTCTCATATGCATTCTGCTTCTGCAAGATCAGTAGCATGATCCTCCAAGGTTTCCTAAATATAGCTGCTCCATTACCCTTCCCCTACTGGATGTCTCCCTTCATCATTCTCACCACTCTGCCCTTTGCCCATGCCCAGCTTGCTGTCCTCTTTGGTCCCTCTGTTAGCTGGCAACTGTCAAGTACATAGATAAGTGACCTTTGGATCTCAGCCTGAATCCCTCGTCTTCATGACTCAGTGTTGATGCTGCCCCCTAACTCATTTGAGAAACCCCACTGTCCTCACCCTCCTACTGCCTCTTGCTCACTCCATTCCTTCCAAGGCCCTGCTCCTGCTCCAAGATCTAGTCATCCAGGAAGTCCTCCCTATTCGTTCCTTATCCCATGAGTCACTGGCCTTTGGGAATATCTCTCCTCATTCTATCACTGACTCTTTCAAGTCATGACTTTCTCTGTTTTCTGCCTGATATAGTAACCTGTCCATTCTGGGTTCTGGATTTACTTCCCAGCTTCTGGTCCTTTACCCAGGCTTGTTAGCACATATGTTGCTGGAGAAAATCACTTAGGGATAACATAGATAGAAAATGAAGTGTAGGAGAGGTATTCCTGTTTCTTAATGTCTTTTTTTAAGTTTTATTTGCTTTTATTTTATGTGCATGTGTGTCTGTGCGTTGTGTGCATGTCTGGTGTTCACAAGGACCAGAAGAGGGCATAAGATCCCCTGGAGTTATACCTTGTTGTAAGTCATCATATGGGTGCTGGGAACCAAAACAGCCAGTGCTCTTAAATACTGAGTCAACTCTACAAGCCCTTACTGTCTTTTATTGGACACCTATGCACAGCCACAGTACCATCCACTTCCACGTCTATTTTTTTGAATGACATCAGCAGTGTGAACTGAGCATAACTGTCATTGTTTATGGATAAGGAAGCTGAGCAACAGAGACAGAGAGCAGCTTCAGGTCATATGGTCAGTAAAAGATAACATAGGCAGGACTGAAAACCAGGCCGTCCTGCCTTGCCTCAGTACCCCTGCTGGATAGGAGGGAGATATCCCAAACTAGGACTGCCCCTGAAGCCCTGTCCTCAGCGAACCTTTCTGATCCCTATGGACTAGAAGTTTCCCTCTGGAGGTTGGTTGCCTCTGACCTGACTCTTACCTCTCATGCTCTCCAGAACAGAGACTGAGATCACTTGAGGTATTTTTTTTCATCTCCAGGACTTCTTGGCTATAGCTACTCTTTCTTACTTGCACAGCTAAGAGTCCATTGAAAAAGTAACCATGAAATCATGAGTACCGCCTGCACACACAAATATGTATATATCAGCACGCATCAGATCCTAACCTTCACATTCGTCAGCCCCCTGCACCAGGCCTGGTTTTAAAAGTCAGCCACCCCAATCTCTAGAGCTTTCAGTTAACTAGTACTTACTATGTACCAGGAAATAGTTTGCTTTCCACACAGCTCAGAGACAAGGCTGGATAAGTGCATGGTGTTTGCATTTTATAGGTATGATATGACATCAGAGATGGGCACTGTGTAAGCTGTTGGGATTTGCCTTTCTGTTACTGTCTTAGGCAAGGGCTTCTACCCATGAACACTGACTGCTGACTTGCATCTATCATACAAATTTGTGCCTGTGCCCATTTGTGCAGATAGGACATGCCATGTTTGGTTAATAACACCCTGTACATAGGGCTCTCATGACCTTTTGTGGTTCCCTTCTGCACTGCCATTGTTCTCTCTCTGAGTGGCTGGATCTGGATAGCATTAACATTTCAGCATCCAAAATAGGGCCATAAATACTCAGTGCTTGTGAAAATGATCTTTAACTGGGTACCAAGATCCCTATTCTAGCAATAGGAATTCAAAGCATCAGAGAACTGTCTTTCAGATCCTTTAGTCCATACTTTCAGGCCACAAACTGGGCACTTCTAGCCTTGGAACCCCTCTCTGATGGCCTGATAATCTGATTCAGTGCCTGTATGCATCCATCTGATAGTTTCCACGTGAGGTCAGGCCATGGTCACAGGAATATTAACTTTTAGGCCCAGTGTAGCCCTGAGGTTACTCTGTAGAAGAGGACCACTGGAGATGGAGCATAATCAGAACTTAGTGATGTGATTTGATTAACTTCATACATGTAGTGAAGATACCTAGAAGTGCTACATGTCATCAGAAATGGAAGGAGAAAGAATACAGACCATGGGGGTGGATCCATTTGTTCTTAGGCTCAACGTATGTTAGAGGTGGGCCTGTTTGAATGAATGATCGATCTAGTAGGGGATTCAGTGAGCAAATATCAACATAGATACTCTTTTTCTCTTTCTTTCATCCTTAGTGGTTCAGGGTAGGATATGACTTTTATTTTTTTTATGACTTTTATTTTTTGACACTTTATAATTGCACATATTTGTTAGATATAATTTACTATTTCCATACTAATTGTATATTGGTCCATCATCTTTTTTTGAGGGAAATAAATGTTAATTTTGTTATTTTAATGATTATTTTGTTGTTTATGTTTTTATTGAACTGTACATTTTTCTCTGCTCCCTTTCCTTCCTCTCCCTCCCCTTCTACCCTCTCCCATGACCCCCATGTTCCCAATTTACTCAGGAGATCTTGTCTTTTTCTTCTTCCTATGAAGATCAGATCCATGTATGTCTCTCATAGTATCCTCTTTGTTGTCTAGGTTGTCTGGGGTTGTGAACTTTAGGTTGGTTCTTTTTTGTTTGCTTTATGTCTAGAAGACACATATGTGTGAGTACATATGATATTTGTCTTTCTGGGTCTGGGTTACCTCATTCAGTATAATGTTTTCTAGAGCCATCCATTTGCCTGCATATTTCAAGATGTCATTATTTTTTACTACTATGTAGTACTCCATTGTGTAAATGGAGTACTTATCCATTCCTTATCCATTCTTCAATTGAGGTGCATTTGTGTTCTTTCCAGGTTCTGCTAATACAAATAATGTTGCTGTGAACATAGTTGAGCACATGTCCTTGTAGTAAGATTGAGCATCCTTTGGGTAAATACCCAACAAAGGTATTGTTCGGTCTTGAAGTAGATTGTTTCCTAATTTTCTGAGAAATCACCATACTGATTTGCAAAGCGGCTGTTCAAGTTTGCACTCCCACCAGCAATGGAGGAGCATTCTCCTTACCCCACATCCTTTCCAGAATATGTGGTCATTAGTGCTTTTGTTCTTGGCCATTCTGACAGGTGTAAGATGGAATTTCCAAGTTGTTTTGATACACATTTCTCTGGTGGATAACAATGTTGAGAATTTCCTTACATGTCATTCAGCCATTTGAGATTCTTCTGTTGGGAATTCTCTGTTTAGATCTGTAGCCACAGTTTTATTGGATTATTTATTCTTTTGATGTCAAGTTTCTTAAGTTCTTTCTATGTTTTGGAGATCAGCCCTCTGTCCAATGTGGTGTTGGTGAAGATCTTTTCCCATTCTGTAGGTTGCCATTTTGTCTTGTTGACTGTGCCATTTGCCTTACAGAAGCTTCTCAGTTTCAGGAGATCCCATTTATTCAATGTTGCTCTTATTGTCTGTGCTACTGGGCTTATACGTAGGAAGTGGTCTCCTGTGCCCATGTATTTCAGTGTACTTCCCACTTTTTCTTCTATCAGGTTCACTGTGGTCAGATTTATATTGAGGTCTTTAATCCATTTGGACTTGAGTTTTGTGCATGGTGATAGGATTGGATCTATTTTCATTCTTCTACAGATTGACATCCAGTTTTCCTTCCTCTTCTTTGTATCCCTAGTATGCCTTTGCCCTGGCCAACTTCATTCAGTCTCAAGGCATCAGCAACTTGAAGGTGTGGACCAGTCATATGAAGAGGACCATTCAGACTGCTGAGGCTCTAGGCGTCCCCTATGAACAGTGGAAAGCCCTGAATGAGATTGATGCGGTAAGATGGAAAGGGTTAATATCCTAGCGTATAGGGAGATGGTAATTCTAAGATTATCTCGTGGTTACCTCTGTTCCAGAGAACCTAATTAGTTCATTAAACCTTACATTGTTTTTTTGTTTTGTTTTGTTTTTGTCAAGCAACCATGTATAAGAGAGTATTCTATGTCTTGAAGATCTTGTGAAATCCAGAATTGGATTGACCTATGAGAATGCCTATGGGGCATTTTCACGAATTTTTAATTTATATAGGGAGACAAGCTCGCTGTAGGCAGTACTATATGTCAGCAGGTAGATCTGGGCTGTGTAAGAAAGGTGTCTTAATGTGAACCTAAAAGTAAGCAAGTAATCATGTTTCCTCCATGCTTCTTGTCCTGACTTCCTTTAATGATGGATTGTCATCCTACCTAAGATGTTTTTGGTCATGGTTTATTGCAGCAATAAAAACCAAACTAGACAATTTCTATAAGGTTGTTGTTAATTTCCGCATTTTGCAGATGAGGAAAATAAAACTCAGACGCTAAGCATGTTGCCTACAGTTAAAATAAGAAGGCAATGATCATTTCCATAGGCAAAGGGCCTCACAATAAGCCTCAGAACAGAAGCTTAAAACAGTCTAAAAGGATCTTTGTGTCCTTTCTTTCCTATGAGTAATGTTCATTCAGAAAGCCTGACACTGCAAAGCTGTTTATAATTTGTAAATGTTCTATTCCGTTTCCCTGAAGGAAGCCTGATAGTCAAAAAGACAAGAGCCAGAGTCTGATGACCCCAGGCACCAAACAAGCGGGGTTGAATTAAAACTCACACACTTTGAAGGAAATGTCAAAAACAACATCTCTTTTTACCACCAGCACCAGTAGCCTTGCCTATGGGGATTTTTCAGTAGACTTGGAAGCTCTCAGAATTTATCTTCCTAGGCCCACTCTGAAACCATCAAAAAATTTCCTAGTTTTTACCTTAGGAAGTATCTGTGGATAGATTTTTCCAAGAGATATTAAAATAGAGGGCAGGACAGGAAAGATAAGGAAGGTTATCCAATGGGTGAGTCGCACTGTCTTATATACTTGCATACAGAGTTTCAGATACCAGCCACAAGTATGCTTACCGGTATACACATGCACTTTACAGTCACAGCAACCCTCTCCTGTCAATCATATCTGCAACATATATGCACACAGTTCTAGAAATAAATATAGGTACATCATATACATATATGTATTGAATATAGACCAGATGAGCAAACCATTTGACATGTACACAGTACTAATACATAGTTTCAGGCATATTACCCACATTCACAGACTTCAGACATAGACATAAATATACAAATGATATTGCAGAAATATAATGTAGAATGTACACATTCGCGGATATATGTCACCAATACACAGGAAGACAGATACTACAGAGTAACCCACATGGGCATAGTCTCAGATAGTTATATACTCTGTACATACACACAGAGAATACAAGTGTACAACATATGCAAAATTAGATATAAAATATACATGCAAACACAAGGCTTTGAACATATCTCAATCACACTGATGAATTTATCTAATTATTCTTTATCAATAAAAAATCAGGAGTCGGATATGGGGTAAGAACCTGAATGATCAGGGAATCAGAGAAGCCACCAGTCACCTCCTCTCTCTTCCAATCTTCAAACCAGAGGGCTTGAGATTCTCTCTCAGCCCTACCTTACTATTTCCTGTCTCCTCTCTGCCCTCAATCCAAAACCTCTATGCTTAATTTTGGTCAGCTAGTGGCTAGCTCCACCCTCTGGTTCAAAGTTAACTTTATTGTCAAAATGTGATCAAGATATCACACAACGGCACACATAATAAGCATGTTCCACATGCTTACAAACACAGTAGTAAGTCTTTATTTTATATATACTTATATGTAATATATACATCTAGAACTATGGAGGCAATCATAGGAAAATATCATATATTGAGTCTGAACACACCCATTCTTTTGTCCTTACACAACCCACACACTACACACACACACACACACACACACACACACACACAATGCACCACAGGCAACAGGAACAACTCAAGAGCTACTTTGACAGAAACCCACATGTTATATTATTCTATAATCATTGGTCTCTGAATTGTGTGAAAACGCTATGTGGTAAATATATTGTTCACAAATAATTTTTAACAGGGTGTCTGTGAGGAGATGACCTATGAAGAAATCCAGGAACACTACCCTGAAGAATTTGCACTACGAGACCAGGATAAATATCGTTACCGCTATCCCAAGGGAGAGGTAAAGTTGAAAGGGTGGCTGAACTCCTAGGACTCTTCCCCTGTATTCCAACTGCCAGAGTTTCCTAAGTAGCTTTAGAAACAAGGAAAAACATGTTTTCAATAGCTGCTACCTGTCAAAGTACTTGATTATCTGATCCTTAGCTGTTCGGCAAGCCATTCCTCTTCTTTTAAAAAATATTTATTTATTCATTCAGTGTGTGCATGCATGCATGCATGCCAAGCCCCACATGCTTATGGAGGTCAGAGAACAACCCATGGAACTTTGTTCTCTCCTTCTACCATGTGATCCAAGGGATCAAACTCAGGTCATCAGGTTGAGTGATAGGTGCTATGACCTGCTACTCCTCTTTTTTAAAAGCTACATATTTGCCTACTTATAGGCACTACGTTCTTTTAGAAGAACACTCTTTATCCAATGCCTTGTATTTGTCATTTTCTCACTGGACAAATTAAAATAGCTCAATATACTCTAATTCTGTAATATTTTATTGCCAACTTGCCTAAAGTTACAAGCTCTTTCAGAAGTTGGGAAGGAACAAAAGCTATTAGTTTAATCAACTTCTTGGCTACCATATGAGCCAGACCATAATTTTCCTGTCTCTGTGTGAGATGAGTGCTTATTGCTTTCAATCCAGCCTCTACTTAGCCAGTTCTGCATTTTAATGTATTTATTAGTCATACTCTATCTTTGATCCAAAACCCTATGAACAGTTATCTGAAAATATGGACATCTGGGAAGATAAAACAGTAGAGTGTTATGTTCAGTCACAAATCGCTTTAATATTTTCATCTTCATTCTCAGAAGGGACTTTATTAATGTTAATTTTCTCCCATTTCCTTTATATTTATTTTAGGTTGTGTTATTAGATGCATACAAATTAAAAGCAATGTTGTCTTCTCACTGAATTACGCATATTTTAGTGAGAATGACTTAACTTTTTTCCTTAATAATGCCATTTTCCTAACCCAAATCTAGCTCTACATGATATCTTCTAACCTTTTTCTTAGTTCATCTTTATTTATTCACTTTCAACTTCTTTGGGTACTTTTGTTTTATTTATGTCTCTTATATGCAGTTTATAGTTGGATTTTGTTGTTTTTAATTCAAACTGAAAGATGTCTTTTGAATGCTAAGCCTGCTGTATATATTTTATTGCTATAACTGACTTTTTAACATTTATTTCTATTGTCTTTAACTTTCTATGCTTACTTTATTTTTCTCTTGCTTTCCTTAGGGTTGAGTTTTTCATCAATATGTGTTATAATCTGTTTCCAGATTCTTGTGGAGGTTACGCTTTACTTTAAAAATTCATCATGGTTCTTTCTGTTTTTGAAGATATCCCACTAAGGGTATGAGGTCAAAATATTGTATTTTAAAATAACTCAGAATAATTTGTTGTGTATTGTTATACAATCAACTTGAACTTTAACTTTTTATATTTCTTTTTTTAATTATTTTTAATATAATATATTTTGATTATGTTTTCCCCTCCTAGATCCTCCACTTACCCAACTTTATGTTGTTCTCTCTCTCTTTCTTTCTCTCTCTCTTTCTCTCTCTCTCTGTCTCTTTCAGAAAAACCCACAATAAAACACAAAAATGAAAATTAAAACAAACAAAAATCCAGTAAGACAGAAAATGCCAAAACAAAACAGAATGCTCACAAAAACAAAACAAAACATGGAGTTAATTTTGCATTGGCCAACTACTCTTGGGCATAGGTTCTGCTCTGAAGTGTGCTTGACTATACACTGGAGAAAATTTTCCCTTTGCCAGCAGGTGTCAATTGCAGATAGCTTCTTAGTTAGGGGTTGGACCCTATGTCTACTTCCCTCTCTCAGTGCTGAAATCCTGACAACTACTTGAATCTTTGTAGGTCTTGTGCATGCTACCATAGATTCATATATGTATCAGTCTTATTGTGTCTGGGAGACACTGTTTTTTGAAAGTCATCTATCACCCTTGACTCTTACAATCTCTCTGACCCCTCTTCAATATAAGATCCCTTAAGCCTTGAAGGGAGGGGTTTAATAAAGATATCCCACTGATGACTGAGTGTTCCAAAGTCTTTCAACCCCACACAATGTCTAGTTATGGGTCTGTATTTACCTTCATCTACTACAAGAAGAAATTTCTCTGATGAGAGTTGAGTGAGGCACTAGTCTACAGGTATAGCAATATGTCATTAGGAGTCATTTTATAGTTATGCTCCTTCAACAGAATAATAATACTAGATTTTCCCATAGGCCAATGACCTATCTAGTCACAGGGTCTCAGACACTTTAGCAGTGTCGAGTATAGGTTCCATCTCATAGAATTAGCATTAAATCCAATCAAAAAGTGGTTTGTTATTCCCATAAGGTTTGTGCCATCAGTGCACTAGTATATCTTGCAGGCAGGTCACTGTTACAAGTCACAGGTTTTGTAGCTGAGTGATATTGATGGTCACCCTTTCTTTTTTGGTAGTGTACAGAGTACCTTCCAGCACCATTAATGCTAGTCTCAGTAGGGGGTAAAGCTTAGTTGAACACCAACTGAACTTCTCTACATCTGATGACATAGTAAGTTGTGTCTTCAGAAATAGGGCCTTACTATCAAATTGCAGAGAAAAACCAATAGCCTGCAACGTTTTGTGGGATTCTGTGGGACCCCTTTGATCAGTGATTCAATAGATGTAACCCATTCATGGGACTGGAGGTTTTACTTGATAACATAAGATGTTTAAATGGGACACTGCCTCCCTTATTATATGGTGATTCTGTTTAAATTCCTTTCATGTATGTGTATATTTTAGGAAGCTTTTACAGTAAAAAGGTTTCTTTGTGGTTTTTCAAAAGACCTTTAGAGTTAGTTATCCCTTACCATACATATTCCCTCCTTTACCCTGCTCTCCCATACCCCTTCCCAAGGAAGAAGAAATAAAATACAGTGTTATGGAGATACACAGGTGAAACTAGAATAGGAATATTTAGTACTTTAATATACATGACTAACAAGGTCTAAAAATCAATGTCTCTGCTATGCCCCTAAATAGTATAAGATCTTTCAAAATGCAGTTGCTTCCTTTCCTAACTTACATGTTTTATATTTTCACATAGCCTTAATCTCTTAACTCCCAAATGAACTATTACTGGCATTGTTGTTGTTATTGTTACATTTAGTCATTTAATTAAATGTTTACTGATCCTTTGATTATTCTTGTTTCTATCTCATTTCATTTTTCCATCTTGTCATACAGTTTCTCTAATGAAAATCTGTCATTAGTACTCTCACCTTTCCTTTTATCTAAAACTATCTTGGGGGTGCATCCTCAATCCTCGATGATAATTGGTTACATATAAAACTCTCAGTTGGACTGTTATTTTCTTAGCACTTTAAAGCTATTTATCTCATTGTTTTATTGTTTCACTGTGGTTAAGGAATTTTTTTCAGTTTCATTATCGTTTCTCTGGTCATTGGTTAAGTGAGAAGCTTTTATATCTTTGTTGCCTTTAAGCTTAACTCACCTATGTCTAGATATTACTTGATTTCCCCTCCCACCCCTCCTCCCCTCTCTGCCCTTCATCTCTTTCCCCTCCTCTCCTTTTGTCTTGTCTCCTCTTCTTTCCTTTCTCCCCTTTTCTTCTCCCCACCTCCCCACTCTTCCCTCCACTCCTCTATATTTCTTTAGTTCCCCTTTTCCTTTCCACTCTCTTCCCCTCTCTTCAACATTCCTCCACTTTCCCTTCTTTCTTTCTTTCTTTCTTTCTTTCTTTCTTTCTTTCTTTCTTTCTTCCTTTCCTTTTCTTTTCTTTCTTTCTTTCTTGCCTCCCCTTCCCTCCCCTTCCTTCCCTTCCTTCTTTCTCTTTCTTTCTACATGTTCTTTATGCCATCAGCCTTTTAAGATAATTGTTAGAGGAAGCTTTTCATGTTTTTCCATCAGAATCAGAGGGGCGAATATATTTTCTTACTGTTTCCCTTTTTCCTGTGGATTGACTTTTTCTATTTTAAACTTCGACTTAGGGTGTAAGGATTTGTTCTTGGAGAGTCTCAGATTCATGTTGAGTCCCAACTCCCAGTTTAACTCCTATTTCTATAAGGTTTCTGAAATACCGGCTTCTTGGTTAATGAGATTGCCAAATGTCCTAGTCTAGTTGTGGCATCTATATCCAATTTTTAAAAAAACTCTTCATTTTGGAATACTACAGGTCAGAATTTTCCTTATTTTTTTTGAAATTTCAGATGTACAGTTAAGTATATACTTTATAGTGGGGGTTATAGTGTTGTCTTTTATCCCACACTTATTGATTGGTTCATTTAACAGATGAGAAACTAAAATCCCAAGAAACAAGGGATTTGCCTTAGTCATTCTGTTGGGTCAACAATTCAACTGGCTCCCAAACCAAGTTTTCTTCTCTGGGTAAATGTGCTTCACCCCATCCCCGCTTCTTACCAAGTATTTGTCTTTTGTTTAGTCCTATGAGGATCTGGTTCAGCGTCTTGAGCCAGTTATAATGGAGCTAGAACGACAAGAAAATGTACTGGTGATCTGTCACCAGGCTGTCATGCGGTGCCTCCTGGCATACTTCCTGGATAAAAGTTCAGGTAACACACCCCTCCCGCTCTGTTCCTGGTGTAAAGAGCTGGATATGATGTGGGATGCTGATGTCAGCAAATTAGAAGTTTATATTTTAGTGGTTAAAAGCACAAATATCTAGGCTCAAACTTGTTTCATGTGTCTGTGCTACCTTCAGTAAGTACTGTTAGCCCCCCTCAGCCTGTTTTCTCAAGTATAAAATGGAGAGAATTAATTGTAAAGTTGAAATAAACATGTTAAAAATCCTAGAACAGATAATGGATTTATGGATTATTGCCATTATTAGCTAATCTGTAGAATCTGCATATTGAAAACCATCATAAATATTCTGCCACAGCTTCACATACTGAGCCAGTATATCTCTGAAGCATTCTGACCTCAATTGATGTGAGACCTGTGCTCTTGCTATCAGAATAATTTCTCCAAGATAGCAATGTCTATAATTTAATTTTTTTCAAGTCATAACTTATCTTTAAAAACATCTGCATCCTGTATTTATGAAAGTATGTATGCACAGACTTATATACTGCCATACATATATATAAACAGACTACTTATGCTATGCTGTCATTCATATATACACAGGCTTCATATGTATGTATGTATATATATATACTTAGTATATATACATATATATACAAAACTTCCTATGTTGCCATATATACACAAAGAGATTTCATATACAACCGTGCATATATATACAGACTACATATGCTGCCATATATATGTATATACAGAATTTATACACACACACACACACACACTACATCTATTTCTCCAGTGGCCTGGCACTACCTTCATATGACAATCCATTTCTAATGTAGATGCTGAAATGTTGACATTTCCAGGATATTTTGAAGCTGTTTGGGAGCAATGCTAAATACTATTTAATGCCTATAGTGTCCCAAACTCTTGATTAAATTCTGTATGCTAATTTCAAAATAAAGAATATATAAAATATGGAATAATTCAAGATTGAAATCCAGGGAACTTGAGAGTTTGACATTGGATAAGTCATATTCTTCAATATCCTGATCTTCAATATCCCCACTTGAAAATGTCTCTACTTGAAATAGGTGATGGACTATGTGATGGAGGTCTTTTCAGTCTTAGAATTTTGAGATTGTGGGGCAGGAACTATTCCCATTGCTCAGATAAGAAAACCAAGGCTTGGAGCAGTGAAAAGATTTTCCCAAATTTATGGGATAGGAGTTAATCCCAGATGTCTGTCAGAGGCTTTCCCCTCTCAAATATACACAGGGGCCTTGTAGTTACTTCCTAACGTCTCCATTTCTTACCATCTTTCACACATAGACCATTCTAGCTGCTCACAACTTCCCCTGGGAGCAAGGTTATTCAGGGCTAGGCAGATAGCTTTACCCTTAGTATTCAGGAGAGTGATGAAAGCATGCCCAGAGAAATTACATGAGCTAGAATGCATACCTACAGAACTGCAGGGCTAGGGCACCTGTGGTTTGTAGCTAATCTAACTTGTTCTGTAAAATGGGAACACTGAGGGCCAAAGAGAGAAGAAACAGTGGCAGAGCTAGGTCAGAGACTGTAGACAAGTTACTTCTGTTCTCCAGCCCTGTTTCTTCATATGGAAAGTGACAGTGGACAGGACCCAGGGCATCAATGAGGGTATAGTGTGGTCATACATACAAAAAAGTCATTGACCCAGACTTAATTATAATGATTGACAGTGGGGAGGAACAGAATGAATTTCCAGGAAAATGACCCATCTTGATATATGTCAGGAGGTTGGGAGTATGGTAGCATGCCTTCAAAGCCTACAATTAACCTAAGGGACAAGAAGTCATTACAAGTGATGGTGTTCCAGCTAAATAAGGGAAGTAAGGATATGTAGTGCAGCCTGGAGAGTGGTGAGGTGTATATCAAGATAAAGTGCCCCCAAAGGTGTGCATCCCAGTACTCTGTGAGTCCCTCCGTGGTGGTAACTACAAACTGCAAGGGCAGAATAGGCATCTTGTCTTCAGAGTACCCTAAGTTTGAGGCCCTAAGCTGCCACTTCCTAGCCATGGTACACTTCCCCTTGAAGCCCATTTCCTTATCTATAAAATGAGCTAGATTGTTCTTCCTTTCCATCTGTCTGAAAAGTCGAAACACTGGTCTTGACAGGAAATTGTACATAAACATTCAGAGTCACTTCCTGCATAATCATCAATAACAGGAAACCAGTGAATCAATCAGTTCTTGTCCATAAAGAAGTTGTAAGAATCATACACACACACACACACACACACACACACACACACACACACATACACGGAGACAGACAGATGGGAGGTGGGGGGTTGCTGCCTGATTTGGAAGAAAGAGTGTAATAGACAAATACCACATGTGCCTCTGCCATGGAAGTAGTATTTATGAAAGTTAGGGGTGCAGGTGTAGGGTCTGTGGAAAGTTGGCCTGGAGCAGGAGGAAGCTTTTCTTTTTCCTGCTCATTCTGAGTAGAGTTGAGGCCTCTAGGTGGGTACTTAGCCCTCCCATGGGACTCACACTCTGTCCACTTTCCCAAGACTGTCTTGCTCCTGTTTCCAGGCAACTAGGTTGCTCTCTTTTGCCCTACTTAGCTTGCTCTTGTGACTACCCACCATAGAGAATACCAGCTGTAAGTCTGTGCTGGGACCCAAGTGGAAAGCTGAGGTAGAAGTAGGAGCACCCAGCAAGCCTGCATGTTGTCCTCTGCTCAGTACTGCATCTCTCAGGGCTGCTGCTTCCTCCTTTCCAGATGAGCTGCCCTATCTCAAGTGTCCTCTGCACACAGTGCTCAAACTCACACCTGTGGCTTATGGTAAGTAGATCCACTTTCATTTAAGGAAAAGCACATAGAAGCCAGGGGTATGCCTCCAGTGTCTACCAGAGAGCTCTAGGAGGCTCCTGGGTGAGGTCCCTAGGTGGCTGGCAGGATGTCCTGGTAGAGGTGCAGCTGGTGACCGTAGGCTAAGAGGAAAAAGCTAAGCTAGCATCCAAATCTAGAGCCTGGCTCTGTCTGTCTCTGCCTGGGCAGTGAGTATAGAACATTGTTCTATTTGTGTTGAGCAGAGGTGTACCCAATAGATACCTTAGGAAAATTATACGTTGGGGACATATTAAAGAATGGGGGCATTAGTTACTTATGAAAGGTTCATAAGCAGGGAAAGGATAGATTCAAATGTAGTCCAGGGTGTAAACAGGATAAAAGAACCAACTGGAACCTGTGATATGATAGCCTACAGGAATAGTGCTGAAGGGGCCACCATTGAACACTGGAACTCCTGTTAGCCCCAGGCCCTTCTTCTTCAGGCTCCCTAGAACTTCCCAGTAATCACACCTCTAGAATTGCTAGAGGTGTCTTCTGAATAAACCTTGCCTGGGTTTGAGTACCCAGAACTATAGCCTAGGACTCTTCCACTTAGCATGGCTTGGAGTACCCTCAGCCCTCTGTCAATCATATATAGATTAGACTACTGTCTTATAGGTCACAAAGATCATCTCCTCTCATTTCTTTCACCATATACAACCGAGCAATTGAAACTGAGCAAATAGACACTCTGGGAAGATGACTGTTGACTTTAGGGCTTTGGGGCCCGGAATCTTTCCCACACATCCTACAGCTCCCCTACCTTCAGGAGAGGTATAATCTAGAGTAGTGGTTCTCAACCTTCCTCATGTTGTGGTGACTCAACCATAAATTTATTTTCATTGCCACTTAATTGTAATTTTGCTACTATTGTGAATCATAGTGTAAATATCTGATATTCAGGATACTGATATGCAACCCCCCAAAGGATTGTGACCTTTAGGTTGAGAACTACTGGTCTGGAGAGTATGGACCTGGGGTGTGGGTAGTGATGATGGGAAAGGGGAAATAATACCTTAGAGAAGACCAAGTCTTATCCTGAGTGCTTGTAGACATATGAGTTATTTTTTTCTGAGGCTGCAGAATAGAGTCCATCTACCTGAATGTGGAGGCAGTGAACACACACCGGGACAAGCCTGAGGTAGGTTGGGTGCTCTGTATCCAAGCAGGCTTTTAACGTGGTATACTCTGAAAGTACCCTTGCACATGAAAAGGCTAGCTCCAGCCCCAGACATCCCAGGTGTTTCAAATCAACCAGCACTCACAAGTGGCAAAAACCATAGTCCAGGCCCATAGAGACTCAGGGATGTGACAATTCTTGCTAAACAGGCCTCTGACTGATTCCCTAGGCATGCCTAAGAAGACAACCAGGACCCATGCCCTGCTCAGAGGGATGCCTGGCAGTGAGGTCAAGAGACAGGGCAGAACTGGGATTCTATACTTCCTACTAACCCTGGGCTCTCTCCTTAGAATGTGGACATCACCCGTGAACCTGAAGAAGCACTGGACACTGTCCCTGCCCATTACTGAGCCATTTCCAAGTGATCAGATTGCCTCTGTCCTCATTGATTTTCTCCTGTAGGAACTGCTGCCCTTGTTCTCCCTAAGCAGACTCTGGCTTTGGCCTGAGAGTGCCCTACCTCCAGGGAAGAAATCTACAGCAGCTCCCAAACAGGTCTCAGTTCCTAGCTCAAACTAAGGAACCTACTTATTCATGGATAAAGCTCTTTTTAAATAACTATTTCCTGATCAATAAAGACATGTATTCCTGCCTATAGGACAGGAAGATGCTATAAGGCTTCTCTCATTGTTGTCAAGATCTTGGTTCTGACCCAACTCTGGTGCTGTTGAAGAATGGGTGAGGACATCTGAGATCGGAAGAGTCCTGGGGTAGCACTCTCAAACATGGACAAGATAGGTCCTGTGAGTTCCTGTTAGTTTTATTCCTTGGTAGTCAAGGTACATGAGGACAGGATGTATTCATTGTTATACTCAAGAAGAATCCAGTACCTGGGCTAAAAGCTTCAGTCTCCAACTCTTGCTACCATCCTGAGTAATTTCATTGCCTATGTTAATGATGCCGTCAACACCCTCCCTCCCAGGGATGTGACTCCCTCAACTTAGTGATTATGTTTTATTTTTTTTAATTAAAAATTTCCACCTCCTCCCATTTCCCTCCGCCTCCCCCTACTCCCCCTCCCTCTCCAGTCCAAAGAGCAGTCAGGGTGCCCTGCCCTGTGGGAAGTCCAAGGTTCTCCCCCTTCCACCCAGGTCTAGGAAGGTGAGCATCCAAACTGCCTAGGCTCCCACAAAGCCAGTACATGCAGTAGGATCAAAACCCCGTGCCATTGTTCTTGACTTCTCGGTAGTCCTCATTGTCAGCTACATTCAGAGAATCCAGTTTGATCCCATGCTTCATCAGTCCCAGTCCAGCTGGCCTTGGTGAGCTCCCATTAGATCAGCCCCACCGTCTCAGTGGGTGGGTGCACCCCTCGCGGTCCTGACTTCCTTGCTCATGTTCTCCCTCCTTCTGTTCCTCATTTGGACCTTGGGAGCTCAGTCCAATGCTCCAATGTGGGTCTCTGTCTCTATCTCCTTCCATCACCAGATGAAGGTTCTATGGTGATATGCAAGATATTCATCAGTGTGGCTATAGGATGAGGCTAGTTCAGGCGCCCTCTCCTCAGCTACCCAAGGAACAAGCTGGGGACATCTCCTTGGACACCTGGGAACCCCTCTAAAGTCAGGTCTCTTGCCAATCCTAAAATGGCTCCCTTAAGATATCTACTTCCCTGCTCCCATATCCACCCTTCCTCCATCCCAACCATCCCATTCCTCCAAGCTTTCCCCATCCTCCCCTTCTCCCTTCTCTTTCCCCATCTTCCCTTACCCCCACCCCCGTGTTCCCAACTTTTGCCTAGCAATCTTGTCTACTTCCAATATCCAGGAGGATGACTATATGTTTTTCTTTGGGTTCACCTTCTTATTTAGCTTCTCTAGGATCCTCTGTCTGGGCTAACTTATTGCCTGGAAGCTTACTGTTCATTCAAGTCTGTAAAATTTTATCATCCTTGAGACTTGAGCAGTATGCCTCCACACCACAGGCATTTATGTAGTATTTCCTAAATGAACAATATCTACCCTTGTTCATCAGTACGTTCCTTTTGAGGCCTCTATTTTCTCCTAGTTCTGTAGTTCTCAATATTCTTCTATCCCTTACCAACTTGGAACTCCTCTTCAGCCACAATGCATACACTAACCATTGTGAGCCAGGTGCTAGTGTCCATATGATAAAGAGACTCATAACTTTGCTGCTTTGTTTCCTAGTCCTTTCAGCACAACCACCCAGTTAGATCCAAGCCTTGAATCATCCATACTTTTTCTAGGATCTACTAGGGTTGGAGATCACTGCTTGAAACAGATCTATTTTTCTACTTCCACAGCTATCCTTGAATCCTGTTCAAAGTCAGAATCACCCTCTATTTTCTGGCACCCTATCCCTTTCCACTGTCTCATACTACTTCAGTCAATTCCTGACTCTTCCATATCAATCCTCTGCCTCTCATTTGACTTTGGTCCTACAGTCCATACTTATTTTTTTCTATCCCAAAAGAATGTCCTCTTGCTCCCATGTCAACTCCTAGTTCCTTTCCTTCTTATCCCTCTATTCTTACACAGTTGCCCCAACTTAGTGTGAATTTACTATCCACAGCTCTTTCTGTTTCATTCTATCTTAGGCTTCCCCCTTTCATATCTGCTCAAGCACACTTTCCCAGAGCTCCCTGACCCTTAGAAATATCTGCCTTTTAGCTGGATCCCCACAGTCCCCAAAAAGCTAAGCTTAACTCTAGTTGTTCTACAAACCCCAGACATCGCATCTAGCCATATTAAAAGATGGAATAAACTCAGATTCCTTTGGCAAATTTAATGTAACTCTGATACCAAAATATGACAACAACACAAGAAGCAAACACAAAGCAGGAACAGCAGATTTTTCTTAGTGTTTCACTCAGCTAATGGGTTGTAGCTGGTTAGGCTGCTGTGTGGACAAAGATTCCAAAGCTGCACATTGGCTCCATGGAAAGTACTGCTGCGTTAGTGTTACCTGTAAACATGGGTAACAAACGTAACAAACCTGAAAAACAAACAAAGCAAAATACCCAGAAACACGTTAGCACAAAACCCATTTCCTTTTATTTCCTTTTTCTCACTTGCCCCCCCTCCCAGCTTAGAGTTTCTTCTAGTATCTCCCAACTATTATAGCTATCCCCACGGATCCTGGCTATGGGAATATTGCAGTTACCTGAAACTTCACTAGCCGTAAGAGAAGCCACAGGCACCGAGGTTAGTGGCTCCACCACCAAAGCCAGTACCGGTGCTTGGTCCACCGCTGAATCCAGCACTCGTGTTCAGTCCACCACCGAAGCCAGCACTGCTGCTCAGTCCACCACCAAAGCCAGCTGCAGTGCTTGGTCCTCCGAAGCCACCTCCAGTGCTTGGTCCGCCAAAGCCAGCTCCTGTACTTGGTCCACCACCAAAGCCACCAGTGCTTGGTGCATTGCAGAAACCAGCACCAGTGCTTGGTCCACCACTAAAGCCAACAATAGAACTGGGTCCATTACTGAAGCTGGAGCCGGTGCTGGTTTCACCAGTAAAGCCACTGCTGGTGTTGGAATCACTGCCAAAGCCAATGATGGTATTCAGTCCTCTGTCGAAGCTGGCATTAGGCCCACTGCCAAAGCCATCGCCAGTGCTGAGGCTTACACTAAAGCCTGCACCAGTGCCAAGTGTGCCGCCAAAACCATTATTGGTACTCAGGTCACCAGCAAAGCCATCATTAGTGACCAGTCCACCACCAAAGCCAGTGTTGCTGCCAAGTCCATCACCAAAACCAGCACTAGTGCCCAGTCCACCACCAAAACCAGTGCTAGTGTTTAGTCCACCATTGAAGCCAGCACTGGTACCCAGTCCCCCACTGAAGTCAGCATTAGGACTTAGTCCACCACCAAAATCATTGCTGGTGCCTAATCCACCACCAAACCCAGTGCTGGTGCCCAGGCCACCACTGAAGCTAGCACTGGGGCCTAAGCTTCCACCAAAGCCAGTGCTGGTACCTAGGCTGCTGCCAAAGCCAGCACTGGTGCCTAATCCGTTTCCAAAGCCAGCACTGGTACTTAGCCCATTCCCAAAACTGAAAATGGCACTGGTGCTGTGGCCCTCACTGTAATTGGCACTGGTAGCACCACTAAAGCAGGAGTTGGTGCTGGAAGAGCCTCCAAAGCATAGGTTGGTGTTAGATGCACTGCCAAAACAGAGACTGGTGCTAGGTGCTCCACCAAAACAGAGGTTAGTACTTTGAGAACCACCAAAGCTGACACTGGTAGTGGGAGCACTACCAAAGCTAATGCTGTTGCTATGGGTACTACCAAAGTCAGTGGTACTAAGTGCCCCACCAAAGCCAACACTGGTACTGAATGCACCACCAAAGTCAGGGTTGGTGCTGATTGCACCGCCAAAGCTGGCACTGGTGCTGATGGCACTACCAAAACCAGCACTGTTACTGAGTGCCCCACCAAAGCTGGCACTGGTACTGATAGCACTGCCAAAGCCAGCACCGTTACTAAGAGCACCACCAAAGCTGGCACTGGTATTGATAGCACCGCCAAAGCCAGCACTGTTACTGAGTGCACCATCAAAGCTGGCACTGGTGCTGATGGCACTGCCAAAGCCAGCACTGTTACTGAGTGCACCATCAAAGCTGGCACTGGTGCTGATGGCACTGCCAAAGCCAGCATTACTATTAAGTGCATTACCAAAGCTGGCACTGGTACTGATGGCACTGCCAAAGCCAGTACTGCCACTGAGTGCACCACTAAAGCTGGCACTGGTGCTGATGGCACTACCAAAGTCAGCATTACTATTAAGTGCATTACCAAAGCTGGCACTGGTACTGATAGCACCGCCAAAGCCAGAACTGCCATTGAGTACACTACCAAAGCTGGCACTGGTGCTGAGTGCACTGCCAAAGCCAGAACTGGTGCTAATGGCACCACCAAAGCTGGCACTGCTGTTGAGTGCACTGCCAAAGCCGGTGCTAGTGTTGATGGCACCGCCAAAGCTGGCACTGCTATTGAGTGCACCACCAAAGCCAGTACTTATGGCACCACCAAAGCTGGCACTACTGTTGAGTGCATTGCCAAAGCCAGCACTGGTGCTGATGGCACCACCAAAGCTGGTACTGCTGTTGAGTGCACCGCCAAAGCCAGCACTGGTGCCAGAAGAGCCACCAAAGCTGACGCTAGTGCTTAATGTGCCACCAAAGTCAGAGCTGGTGCTAGAAGAAGCACCAAAGGAAACACTGGTGCTGAGTGTACCGCCAAAATCAGTATTGGTGCTAGGAGAACTACCAAAGCAGATACTGGTACTGAGTGTGCCTCCAAAGCCGACACCAGAGCAGGGGGAGCTACCAAAGCAGACACTGGTGCTAAGTGTGCCTCCAAAGCCAGTAGTGGTGCTAACTGCACCACTGAAGACAGTGCTTGTGGTAGGTGCACTGCCAAAGCTGGTGCTTGTGCTGAGTGCACCACCAAAGCCAGCTGTACTACTAAGTGTGCCTCCAAAGCCACAGCTTGCTCCACCATTGAAACTGGCACTCGTACAAGGTGCACCACCAAAACTAATACTGGCTCCACCACTGAAACTGGTACTGGTGGTAGGAGAACCACCAAAGCTAATGCTGGATCCACCACTGAAACTACTGCTAATGCTGGGTGAACCACCAAAGCTAATGCTGGTGG